TGCAAAGGTCTTTAGTATTTTAGATGCAAACAAAGCATTTTGGCAAATTAAACTGTCAGATTCAAGTTGTGAATTTACTACATTTAACACTCCGTTTGGTAGATATTGTTTTTTGAGGTTGTCATATGGACTGAGTTCATCACCAGAAGTTTTCCACAGAAGTTTTTCTGAAATTTTTAGTGATTTAGAAGGAGTTCAACTATATATAGATGACTTATTAGTTTGGGGTAAAGATAAAAAAGAACATGATTTAAGATTAAAGAAGTTGTTGGACAGAGCCAGAGAAAAGAATGTTAAATTTAATTTAAATAAATGTAAATTTGGGTTGAAGGAAGTGTGTTACGCCATCCATTGCTCGCCGTAAGAGGGCGCTGTTTAATCTTGCTAGTTTTTCTGTATCATAGTATATGTTAGTGAGTAGGAATAAAAATGTGTTGTTCTGAAAGGTAGCGTCGATCTTTTGATGAGTGTGGAGTTCAATGTTCAATTTCTACCCCCTTTACAAACGAGGTGAACATTTTTTGGTGTCAGGAGTGGGGTTGGGTGAGAATGTGATGGTAATAATGTGTATCATCGAATTTTATGTGAAAATATAGTGTGGCGATATGCGAATATATGTTGCGCGGAAATCGAAACTGAAAGGTATTCCATTGTGTAGATTGTGGTGAGTAGTTATTTTGGTTTGTTGTAATAATGTTTAGTGTTAAATTCTGTTTATTAGTGTTGTGTATTGAGGTGTTCCTACTTGATAATTTGAGTTGATAGAGTCTGTGTTGAGTTTGATTGTGTTCGTTTTGTACTCATTGTGTTCTAGTTGTCAATTCAAGGTTGTATTTTTCTTTGAATTAAGATGAGTCTGAAGTCGCTTAAGTCATTAAAAAAAGACGAGTTGACGCTCGTCGCAGAGGAATTAGGATTAGTAATTCCGAGGGGGGCGAAAATTGTTACTTTGAAAACTTTAATAGAAAGTTCAGAAGTTTGTGCAAATGATGCTGAATTTGTGCAAAATGTTATTGATAATATTCTAGAGGAAAAGAAAATACAAATTGAGAAACAAAAATCGGAAAACGAAATTAGATTAGCGTTAGAGAAAATAAAACTTTCTCAGTTAGAGGCGGAATTAGCTTTAGCTAACACTAGAAAAGACTTGCTACAAAATCCAAATGTTGAGACGGACAGCTGAAATCGAAATATGGAAAATTTAATTAAAAGTGTAAAAACATTAATAATTTCTGTACCTACAAAAGCAGAATCCTTTAATCTCTTTTTTCAATCAATTGAAAGGGCTTTTAGGACAAAACAAGTACCTGAAGATTTAAAAGCAGAAATCCTATTAAATATTTTGGGATAGAAGGTCATTAATTTAATGGTATATGTGAAGGAAGAAGATATTAATAATTAGGATAAAGTCCATGATTTTAAAGGAATTTCAACTAACCCCTCAAGAGTGCTTAAATCATTTTCGTTCTATGCAAAAATTGTCATCTGAGAACTTTGTACAGTTTGCATCAAGGTTAAGTGCAAATTTTGAATATTATTGTCATTTGAGAAATGTAAAAGATTTTAAATCGTTATGTGATCTTATGATTTCGGATAAAATATTCAGTGAACTTGATCGTGAATTAAAGACCCATATAGCAGTTAAACTGGGAGGGACATGGTTCGAACCTCAAACTTTAGGTCGTGAATGCGATATTTATTTGTCATCAAAAGGTAAACAAAAACCAGAATCCCTTTTTGCAAAATCATTTACAGGTAACAATAATAAAAGAGGTGATGGAAATAATGTTAATAAACTTCGTAACTATAATTACAAAAATATTTCTAATGTATATGTATCTGGAGCAAAAGATCAAACATGTATTTTGTGCAAAACGAATTAAACCACCCATTACAAAATTGTCCTAATCTTAAAAGGCTTTCAGTAAATGAGCATGTTGAAATTATTAAGCAAAATAACCTTTGTTTCAAATGTTTTTCTTCGCAGTGTAATGCGAAAACGTGTAGAGCCAGAAATTGTTTCTGTGGGAAAGCTCATCATTCTATGATTCATTTTTATAAATAAAATAAACCTCTTTCCAAAGTAGAGAACGGTGGCGCCGATCAAATTCAGTGCAATGCATCAATATCAAGGTCAAGCCGAATACATAAATCATCTGTGCTGTTACTCACTTGCAGTGTATACGTTAGCTCTGTTGATAAAACAAAATTGAATAAAATGACGCACATATATGCGATAATGGCTCTGAAAGAAGCTGGTGTACAAAGGCCCTTGCCAATTGCTTAAAATTAAAATCAATTAGAAAGGAAAGGTTGTCAGTTTTTTCCCTTGGCTCAGCAAAGCCTACTGAGAAATTATACGAAGTAGTAGAATTAAAATTATCTACTAGATTCAACCCTAATCAGTGTATTGAAATTGAAGTGCTAGTGGTCGATACTATTACAGCGGCATCTGTTTCTGTTCCAAATGAAGAAGTACAAAATATTATGCAGTCCCGCGGATTAGTCTCAGCCGACTGCTGTGACAGTGATATAACATTGAGATATTAATTGGGGCAGATGTGTTTTGGTAGATTATTGAAGGTTCAGCTTTCGAAAAAATAAACCAGGAAATTACTTGTGTGCCAACGATTTTCGGGTTTGCTTTACAGGGAAGTCAAAATGTTTACAAGCCAAATGTTAAGACTGCAGTTTCAGCGAATTTTTGTGTAACCGCTTCAGATGTTCAGATTGGGAGCTTGATGCTTTAGGAATTAAAGAAAAGGAAGAGTTAAATGTAGTTGATAAAGCGCTGATAGATGATTTTGAGAAAAATTTAAAATTCGTGAATGAGAGATATGAAACTGATTTATTATGGAAGTTTAGTTACGATGAATTTGGAAATAATTATTTTTTAGCTGAAAAGAGGTTTGATGAGTTAGTAAAGGATTTTTTGGAATGTGGTAGAGATGAACATGAGTATTTTATGCCTCATAGAGCAGTTATTAGGGAAGATAAAGAAACAACTAAAGTTCGCATAGTCTTTAACTGCAGTTCAAAGTCTAAAGGTAATCTTTCTTTAAACGATTGTTTGGATATTGGCCCAAATTTAAATCCAAATATTCTTGATGTGATTCTAAAATTTCGTAATTACAAAATAGCGTTTAATGGTGATATAGAGAAGGCTTTCTTAATGATAAAAATTTCTGAAAGAGATAGAAAATTCTTAAAATTTCTTTGGTATTCAGATAACCCTAGTGAAGAATATAAAATTATGAGAATGAAAAGACTACTCTTTGGATGTAAAAGTTCCCTTGTTATTTGGAGTGCTAAGATAAAGCATCATATAAAAAATATGAGAAAAGTAAACCGAAGTCATTTGGAATGTTAAATTCATCACTTTACGTAGATGATTTATATTATGGGGGAGATAGTGTGAGAGAATCGTTTGAGTTGTCGTCGGATGCTGTTATATCAATATTAAAGAGTGGATGGATTTAATTTAGGAAACTGAGGTCGAACAGTAGAGAATTAGAAAAATTGTGGATAGAAAATGGACTTGGTGACAGTGAGATAGTGAGAGTTCAACAACTAAAAGTCCTAGGGTTGAATTGGAATCCTGATAGAGATGAGTTGTCGTTGAAGGTGAAGGGTTTGGTGGATTAGTGGGAAACGTTGCGACGTACTAAAAGATGTGTTTTACAGACAGCTGCAAGAATCTTTGATCCTATTGGTTTGATTGCGCCGTTTGTGATACGTATAAAGTTATTGTTACAGGAAATTTGGCAGAGAGCGTGTGATTGGGACGAAGAATTGCCGGAGGACTTGCGCAGCAAAAGTGGATAACGTGGTGTAAAGAAATTAAAAAATTGATAGACGTTACTATTCCGAGATATTGTTTTCTGGATTGTGAGAATGAGCAATCTGAAGTACACGTGTTTTGCGATGCTTCACCAAGTGCTTACGGAACTGTTGTTTATTTTAGATATTGTGAGAATAATGGGAATTACAGAGTATCTTTTATAATGTCGAAGAGTAGAGTGTCACCGTTAAAGAAACTAACGCTGCCACGGTTGGAGCTAATGGCCATGGTAATAGGTGCTAGAGTGGGAAATTACCTTAAGAGTGTTTTTAAGGATAAAATTGGAAGAATAGTGTTTTGGAGTGATTCTTGTATTGCGTTGCATTGGGTGAAGGGAAGTGCGAAGAGATGGAAACAGTTCGTTGCCAACCGGGTTGTGGAAATTCAGGAAAGATCGAGTCCAAGTGATTGGTATTATTTTCCGTCTGACGATAATCCCGCAGATTTGCTTACTAGAGGAATCTCGGCTGAGAAGTTGGTACTTAATGAAAAATGGTGGTCAGGTCCAATTTGGCTTCGAAAAAAGTCTTGAGAGTTGGCCCAGACACTGGGTTAGAGGGTTACCAAATGCAGACAGTGCGGAAATACTAAGAGAGCAAAAATATTCTGTCAAATGTTTTGTAGTTCAGTCGGAATTAGTTGAGCAGCTTTGGAACAAATTTTCAGTTTGGAGTTAGTTGCAGAGAGTTGTTGCTTGGTGTTTAAGGTTTATAAGAAATGTGAGGGGGAATAGGATTTTGGCTCCTTTCTTAGAAACAAGTGAACTAAAAGAAGCGCATAATATTCTAATCAAACTAGTCCAAAGAACTGAGTATAAAAAGGAAATAGCTACTTCAGAGAAAGCGAGAGTATTAAAGAAAAGTTCTTTAATTTCTCTAAATCTGTTCTTAGACAACAGTGGCATACTACGTGTAGGAGGGCGTTTAAGAAATGCCAGCTTACCGGCCTCTGTGAAACATCAAATAATATTACCTAAGAATCATCCTGTTACAAAATGTTTAGTGACATTTTATCACCTTAATTATATGCACGGAGGAGTACAATTAGTTAACTCTGCGATGAAACAAAAGTATTGGATTATAGGAGCAAAAACTGCAATACACAGAGAAATAAGAAAGTACGTTATCTGCGCCAGATTTTGCTTTTTTCGAAACAAATGATGGCTGATTTACCTTCTGCGAGAGTGAATCCCGGAAGACCATTTCTTAAATGCGGAACTGACTTTTCAGAACCATTCTGGATCAGCCCTAGACGTGGTAAAGGAGTTAAACCACTGAAAATGTACGTATGTGTATTTGTATGCTTTGCAACAAAAGCCGTCCATTTAGAACTTGTTAGTGACCTTAGTGCTCAGGCATGCATTGCAGCTCTGAAACGATTCATAGGACGACGAGGAAAGCCCGCTGAAATATTCAGTGATTGTGGAACGAACTTTATCGGTGCAAAGAATTACTTAAAAGCGTATACGATGGAGTCACTTGGTACTTACTTGACCGACGAAGGCGTTAAATGGACAATGAATGTTCCATCAGCCTCTCATTTTGGAGGCCTATGGGAGGCTGCCGTTAGATCCATGAAGTTTCACATGAGACGTGTTATAGGATCGCAGATCCTCTCACAAGAAGAATTTTTAACGTGTCTAGTGGAGATTGAAGCCATACTTAACTCCCGTCCTTTAGTGGCTGCTTCTGAGGACCCAAATTTTTCTGTCAATACACCGGGTCACTTTATTATCGGTTCCGAGTTAAAAAGTGTTCCTGAGCCTGATGTAACAAATGAGAAAATTCTCATCCGTGAACGGTCGAAATTAGTCACACAGATTTCCCAATCGTTTTGAAATCGTGGTCAAAAGACTACTTAACTCAGTTGCCAGTGCGCAACAAGTGGAAACTTCCCAGTACCAATTTACGTGTGAATAACTTGGTGCTAATCAAGGATGAGAACTTGCCGCCACTTAAGTGGAAGATGGCAAAAGTAATTTGCACTTATAGGGGAACTGACCAAAGAGTAAGGTCAGTCAACTTAAAAAACTGCGTCGGGTGAAATGAAAAAACCAATACATAAACTGGTCAGACTTCCTATAAATGACTGATTGAATTATTTCTTTCTATGTTTTATAATTATATTGACAGTTTGTTTAATTTTTATGTGTTGCATTATATTTCAGTTTATATTTCTAGCTGAGCTGATGACGGGGTCATGGGGGCCCAGTGTGTTACGCCATCCATTGCCCGCCGTAAGAGGGCGCTGTTTAATCTTGCTAGTTTTTCTGTATCATAGTATATGTTAGTGAGTAGGAATAAATGTGTTGTCCTGAAAGGTAGCGTCGATCTTTGGATGAGTGTGGAGTTCAATTTCTGCCCCCCCTTCACAAACGAGGTGAAAAAAGTGAAATATATGGGACATATATTTTCTAAAGATGGTTTAAAACCCGATGAAGATAAAATTAAGGCTATTCTGTCTAGATATAAAACCACCAAAAAATGTGAAAGAATTAGAAACTTTCTTAGTAAATAAACCAGTTTTACAGTATTATGATGTAAAAATGCCAGTAGTTTTATCTGTAGATGCATCTCAAGAAGAACTAGGAGCAGTCTTACTGCAGAATAATTTACCAGTAGCATATGCATCTAAGGCACAGATACACAGAAGAATTATGCTCAAATTGAAAAGGAAACTTTAGCTATTGTATTTGCGTGTGAGAAATTTCACCAGTATATATTTGGAAAATATATTACTGTGGAAATTGACCATAAACCAATGGAATCAATTTTCAAAATGCCATTAAATAAATGCCCTGTAAGATTACAAAGAATGCGTATAAGATTACAGCCATATCAGTTTGAGATAAAATATAAACTAGGAAAAGAACCTTTTATAGCGGATGCATTATCAAGATAATTCACTGATAAAGGATCTGATTTCTTTGAAGGAGACATAGAAGCTCATGTTGGATTGGTTGTAGAATGTATACCAACGTTAAAGGTAAAATGGAAGTTTCTCTACTGGAAACAGAAAAAGATGAAAAACTACAAGTTTTAAGAAAATTAATTAAAACTGAATGGCCAGATGAAAAATGCATGGTTCCAGAACTGGCGAAATCATATTTTAACTTCAGAGAAGAACTATCAGAAGCAAATGGATTAATATTTAAAAAATCCTGTGTTGTTGTACCAAGAAGTTTACGAAAAGATATGTTAAGCAGAATCCATTATGGTTATTTAGGAGTAGTAAAATGCAAGATCAAACAAAGCAAGAGAAATATTATATTGGCCAGGAATGTCGAAAAGAAATTGAAGATTTGGTACTGAACTGTCAAACATGTTTAAGTTTACAAAAAGCTAATACTAAAGAACCAATGGTATCTAAAGAAATACCTAATGGTCCATGGGAAGTATTGGGAACAGATCTCTTTTACTTTCAAGGAAGGGATTATCTAATAGTAATAGATTATTTTAGCAAATGTGTTGAAATTGGACATTTGGAAAATTTGTCAAGTGTAACAGTGATAAAGCAATTGAAATCAATTTTTGCAAGACATGGTATTCCGAAAATAGTATATTCGGATAATGGTCCACAATATAATTGCAGGAAATTTAAAGACTTTGCAAGAAGATGGAATTTTGAAACCAGAACTTCAAGTCCAAATTACCCACAATCTAATGGAATGATTGAAAGACATATTCAAACTGTCAAGCGAATGTTAGAAAAAGCTGTAGTTGACAACAAGGATCCATATTTAGTATTACTGGAATATCGTAACTCTCCTACTTCAGATGAAATTAAGTCACCTTCAGAATTGATGTATGGAAAAAGAGTAAATGGATTGATGCCTATAAAAGAGAATTTCGTCCAAGCTAAACGATATGAAGACCATAAACAACATTTACTGAAGAGACAAATCTTACAAAAAAGTTATTATGATAGGAATGCAAGACCGTTAAAACCACTGAAAATAGATCATGTTTACATAAACGAGAAAGGGAAAAAACTGAATGAAAGAGAGAAAATGATAGAAGAAGCAGAAAGACCACGTTCATATAGGATTATAAAAGCAGATGGAAGAATTGTAGAAAGGAACAGAAGAGACATTCTTAAAGAAACTAATCAGAAAGAGTTTGCAATACAAAACAACTGTAAGAATGAAGTTATAGATGAACCCGAGATACCTGAGAATAGCAGGAGCACTGTAAATTTAGATGTGCCTGTAAGTCCTTCAAAACCTAACAGAAGTGTGTCACCAAGTAGTGAAAGAGGTATAGTATCATCAAATTTTTCAAATGGACATAACTACATTACTCGATCTGGTAGGACTGTTAAGAAACCTTATTATTTAAAAGAATATGTTTAATTCTACTACTATGATTATTTTTTATAAAAAAAGGGAGATGTTATATATGTAACTGTATCTATTATTATTTTTAATCATAACTGTAATATAGAATAGTGGATGAGCAATGTAGAATAAACGATGTTTGTGCACATCTTGTAATCATCACTGAGCACATACCCAACGTATATAAAAACAACACAACGGGAGTCATCAGTTAATCCTCTAATCAACACTTTGGTTGGAGTATCGGCTTTAGCACGAGAAGTACTAAATTGTGTTTCATTTTTCATAAAAACAGCAAGTGCAAGATCACCAAAGTGAGCAGAATCAAAAGTAAGGATAATTTTGTCTTCCTGATGAGGATTAGTGAAAAGGAGAAGTTATAGTAAAACTTTAAATCGTAAAAACTAGTTAACATGAAAATACCTTACGTATTTAGTCACATTATTTATTGTAATAAACCTATTTTTTGAGTGAAAAAGGAATTAAAATAAGGCCCTAATGCTTTTGTCATGTTATTTTTAGAAAAGAAGCATTTGTTACGGCAATGGAATGGTTCACAAGAAGAAAAATATTTGCTGTGTATGCAATATGGAATTGCTTATATACAAAGCGATATGTTTATATAAGTTTTTGGGGAATTTTGGGCTCTTCCCACTCGCCCTTTAAAATGCAAAAACATATAAAAAAACACTGTATTCCTGGTAGGTTCTCACGCGGGGTAAGTTATATTTATACGATTTACAAACCACTCTAAAGTTATAGTAACTGGAAGATGGTTGGTAAATAATATAACATTTTAATGCATTGTACTATATTATTTTTTATACTATTTTGATTAAATGAAAAGTAAAAAATCCGCTTGTAAACTTGCAGATATTATTATGCTTTTCGAAGCATAAAGCAGGAAAATTAAGCTGTAATCTCGAAGATATCGTACCAATAAATCCAAGAGAGGTCTCCCACAAGCAGTAACGATTTCATTTTTCGAGATAAAAGTCATGCAGATTAGGGTTTCCGTTAATTATCTATTAACTGAATTTTTTAGCCATGCCGTAGAAATTTCTTATGATAGACTTGAAAATGTTTTAAGCCTTTTAAAAAAATGGCGTCGAGTAAGTTTCTAGCTATTTCGAGAAAGGAAAGAAGTCAAACTCATAGGTTGAAGTGAAAGAATTCATTTAACTCTTCAGTTTTTTCTCCGCCTTCTTACTTAACTCGTGCATCAAAATATACATCTTATACAGTAATATGTGCTACATTTCATGCGATAATTTGTAATTATCCCTAAATATTTTTTTGGCTTATTGGTTAAATAATTTTATTTTTTTAAATGTAGTTCCTGGAGAATTCCAGTTCTTTAGTAGCCAATTTTTTTTAATCTTTTTAGCTATAATTATTACAAAATAAAAACTCACCCAGTTTGTTTTTATCTTCGAAATATTGGCATCCGATTTACAACTATATAAATCGTTTTTAAATGTACTTTTAATCGTTTTTTAAATGTACCTTTACTTACCTGACAACTCTACTTACTATGTGCTTCTCCTCTTTCATGAAGTGTTAGCGTTTCTCTTCCGTAAATTGGAATATCATGGATCTCGTTATATAACAACAGAAGGGGTGATTATTATTAGTTTAAACGAGAAAAAATATGAGCTCCTGCGACCTCTAAAAGGTATCAGTTTTTGTTAAATAACATAAAAATGTCTATAATAATATTAAAGGAAAGAATAATAAGACAAATATACAAGTAAATGGGAAAAAGGAATTTCAGTCTGAAAATTTCAAAGAAGAGTTTTAATATTAATTATTTTAATTTTAAAAAATTCAAAAATACAATACACCATTCAAATTTTTCGTTTCTTTTAACAAAAATAATATCTGCTCTTAGCAGTTCATAAAAGTAAATCTATATCGTTGAATAAAAAGCCTCAACTTAAAGAACTTAACTGAAGAATAATTTTAAAAACTTCTGGTATTTTTTACTGTATTTCGTTTCTGGATTCAAAACGGTATTAAAAAAATATCAAAACTGTAGAAAATTTTAAAATTCACTCGGTTGTGCATACACTGCATACTGGTGTGCAAAACTTAAGCAACAATGTAAATTTTAATCACACAGCCATGAAATTGCCGAAAAGGGGTTGTTGCGATCAGTACAATGAACATACAATTCAGTAGAAAGGTCATACGCATGCAAATGTTAGGGGAAAAAAGTCACAGACGACGTAAGCGTACACAAAATGCGTGCGACCAGTGCGCTCAACTCAAGACTGCAATAAAGAAAGGATGGAGATGCAATTAAAGACATTCGCTGCAAGTACAAATGAGATTTTTCGTAAAATATGTCTAGAAAAATCACCTGGATGACTTCACACGTAGAAGAATGATCGGAAAGCTGGAGGACGGGCATGACCAGTGTAGCTGAAGAGTTTGGAATCAACAAAAAGTTCGTTTCGCGCGCTTAAGAAGCCTTCTATGCGATCCTCGCACAAAATGCA